GCTGGGCCGGGCTGGACGGCGTGTCCCTACACCCAGCAATGCCTCCGGCATCGGTGCGAGCCGGGCTGCTGCAGGGGTCCTGGGGCTGGTGCCCCCCATGCGGGGGAGCTGCCGGGTGAGCCGTTGGGAGCTGGACGGGTGCAAGGTAGTTTCGGTGACGTGCTGGCCCTGTTCCTCCTTGAATGTGAGAGGCTTGATGCAGGGCTGGGGTGAGGCATCCGCTGGGACCGATACCAAAGCAGCAGCTCCCAGGTTTTTGCATGGCAGGGCGTGTTTGGAGGAAAGCTGTGAGCTGACTTCATCCCAGGAGCGGGGTGGGCGCAATCCGGCTGGGAGAGACCCCTGGGACTGGTGGGGTGGAAACCGCAGGCACCGGCTGAAGTCAAAGCCAGAGACAGGAGGTGTCAGCCAGTGCTGCAGCCCAGGCGCTTGCCTGCAAAAGCCAGGCTTGCACTAAGGGAGCTGCTCCAGAGACGATCTCATTAGTCTGCAAATCTCCATCGGTGCAGTAATCGCCAAGATCTGTGTCTGCCTTGGAGCAAAGCCAAGGACAGGCAGGAGCGCTCACTGCAATAAAAGCTCTCTGGATTATTTCACAGCCATTGGCAGCAATGCTCGCCCTCCGAGGCTCTTTAAAACACTCCCAAAAAAGGCTTTGCATCTCCTCCTCCTCTCCTGCTGACCTCTGGAGAGACTAATTCAGAGCGATGCTGTCAAGTATCTCTTTTCAAATGGCTTGCTGCTTTATTTTCTCTCTCCTTGTGTGTCCAGTCGTGGGGACGGCTCCCTCTGCTGCACCCCACCTTACTGACCTGCCCCCAGTCGGTGTTTGGTCCCTGGTTTGTGCTTAAACTGCCGTCACCCCTTGGACCTCGAGGGTCGTGGCCACAGGGCACGAGGGGCTTCCCTTGTACCGTCCGCTCTGGGCTGTGGGCTCCTGCAGCGCTTCTGCAGGCAAAGGCAGCCGTGAAGCTCCGGTGCTGCTGATTTGAGCAGCTCCGCCGCACAGTACCGAGGGACCCTGCGGCCGTTGCTGGCTGCGCGCCCCGGCAGCAGTGCAGTGAGAGCAGCAAAACCCTTCGGGTTGCAGGGGTGTGAATGGGCCCCAGGGTTGGGGGGCTCCCCCGCCCCCCTGGAGGGCTCGGCACAGCCCGGGGCAGCGCTGCCAGCCGGCTGCAGCTCTGGGGAGGTATAGGTATGCCGAACACTGTCGCGTCCTTGCCCTGCCTGGTAGCACGGCTGCGATGTGCCATCTCCATGGGAGCACCCTGTTCCCACCCGGTTCCGCTGCTTGAGGCTGCCGGACTGGAGAGGGGGACGCTGCTGTCCCCAACGCCAGGCTTCAGTCACCTTCCCCTATGCCTGGAGCTCGTCTGCGCCTTGAGCGGGGCCGGCTCTGCCACGAGGGCAGGCCACCGCGCCGTTTGTCAGCACGCAGAGTGGGGCCCGTCTGTCTGTCTGTCTGCTGGGACCACACTGTGCGTTGCAGCCATGGGTGTCTCTGTGCGAGCTTGTGTCTGTGTGTGCAGTTTGCTGCCACCCAGCTCGGAGCTGGCTCGGTTTTATCCGTGTTTTCCCCACAACAAAGTTTTCAGGGCATGTAACCAGCCCAGGACACTCTTGCCTGCTCAAAATGGAGCAGCAGCAGCCTGGGGCAGCCGTCCCCTTGTGGCTTGAGCCCCTGGGACATCTCTTGGAGGTGGCATCTTGCAGCCCGATGCCCTGAGGGCTCCTGGACTGAGCCACCCCACTGCTCCGATGGCACCTGAGCACCGCAACACGCGAGCATGTCTCTGCTGACCTCTGAACTTTCCTTCCCTGTCTGCCGCAGATGAGCGAGAGCGAAACCCTGATCAGTATGGTGAACAGGATGGTGGAGACCTCCTCCCCTAGGGCTCAGCTCTACATGCAAGTAAGCCTCCGGCCGCCAGGCCGTGCTTGGCCCGGGAAGGCCAGCCACGCCAGCCGCCCCACGCTCCATCCCCAAGGTCACCTTCTGCCATTTCCACTCATGCAGACTCCGGCATCCACGCGGCTCTGGCACATCACGCTCTCGGGGACCTGCTAGTCCATCACAGGCTTTGCTAGTCCATCCATGAGCCATTAAAACTCAGTAAATCCTTGTGCTGAAGGCACAAGGTGGGGACACAGCGGTCTTGAACTCATCCTCGTTGGGGCTGGACTCAGGTGCTTTGCTCACTGTTTGCTGTCATGTGTTGATGAGGCAAGGAGAAGGTGTGGGATGACTTAAAGACAGGAATCCAGCCCAAGGCTCTTAAACCAAAGCAATAACTCCCCTAACAGGGAGACGAAACAGCCTTTTACCTCCCAAGGCTCTGCACTTTTCAGTTCCCCTGCCCAGAGAGGCTGCAAAAGCATCGGGATGTCCCTGCTGATGTTGGGCTGCAGCTCCAAGCGCAGGCAGGTCCCGTCACCTGGGAACGTGTCTCCGGGTCACTGCGATCCGCAGCCCATCGTGCTGCCAGCCCCGGGCAGAGGGGTCGTGGGGCCCCGCCATGCTGCCCAGGGCATCTCCTGGCTGTGCGAGCGTGCAGCGACCGGGCGATCACTGGGGTTTTCCGATGAAGGGAAGGTGCCTGTTCCCATCTGCTGTGCACAGGGAGCGGGGACATGCTGGAGGGCGAAGCTGGAGCTGCTGAGATGCTTTCTCTGGCCAGGCTCCCTGCCTGGAGGCAGCAGCATCCCCATCCACCAGGCTCTGCCTCCAGCCGCGCTGGGCATTTCCCAGGTTCAGGTCTATTTGCATTGTCCTATGGTTTTAAATGGCTCTAAAGTAGCGTCCTGCTTTCTAGCAATAATGATCCCCTTCTTCCTATCTTATGCCTTTCATCTTGAGATCTTGGAGGCATTTAATTGTTGAGGTCCCATTAGTAATTTAGATTTCCAGGAAAGGAAAATGACTCACAGAGAAGCCGGATGGTAAACAGGCCCTGGTGCAGCTGTTGATTTATAGGTGTTTCCACTCTGCTAAGTGGGATTACGGCTTAATCTTTCTGCCTTTGTTTCCCTGCCTGTAAGATGGTGGCTGTTATATGCCAGGCAGTTAATGATTCACAAGGCATCTCTTTAACTCAGCTCTTGGCGTCCTGGGGAGAGGTTGTCTCCGGCTAATTCCCATGGCTCCGATGGGCACCGGGGCTGGGAATGGGGAGGGAGGTTGTGCCTTCATCGGAGCCACTGGGCAGGGCCAGGGCGAGAGCTCCAGCACCAACATCCCGCTCTGCCTGCAGCACCCGCTGCCTCCCGACCGATGCTGGCGCCTGCCCAGCCGTGCCGTCTGCAGGGAGCGCCCGCCGC